TGTCAATAGTACGAGTGCTGTCAATAGTACGAGTGCTGTCAATAGTACGAGTGCTGTCAATAGTACGAGTGCTGTCAATAGTACGAGTGCTGTCAATAGTACGAGTGCTGTCAATAGTGCAAGTGCTGTCAATAGTACGAGTGCTGTCAATAGTACGAGTGCTGTCAATAGTACGAGTGCTGTCAATAGTACGAGTGCTGTCAATAGTACAAGTACTGTCAATAGTACGAGTGCTGTCAATAGTACGAGTGCTGTCAATAGTACGAGTGCTGTCAATAGTACGAGTGCTGTCAATAGTACGAGTGCTGTCAATAGTACGAGTGCTGTCAATAGTACGAGTGCTGTCAATAGTACGAGTGCTGTCAATAGTACGAGTGCTGTCAATAGTACGAGTGCTGTCAATAGTACAAGTGCTGTCAATAGTACGAGTGCTGTCAATAGTACGAGTGCTGTCAATAGTACGAGTACTGTCAATAGTACGAGTGCTGTCAATAGTACAAGTGCTGTCAATAGTACGAGTGCTGTCAATAGTACGAGTGCTGTCAATAGTACGAGTGCTGTCAATAGTACGAGTGCTGTCAATAGTACAAGTACTGTCAATAGTACAAGTGCTGTCAATAGTACAAGTACTGTCAATAGTACGAGTGCTGTCAATAGTACGAGTGCTGTCAATAGTACGAGTGCTGTCAATAGTACGAGTGCTGTCAATAGTACGAGTGCTGTCAATAGTACGAGTGCTGTCAATAGTACGAGTGCTGTCAATAGTACGAGTGCTGTCAATAGTACGAGTGCTGTCAATAGTACGAGTGCTGTCAATAGTACGAGTGCTGTCAATAGTACGAGTGCTGTCAATAGTACGAGTGCTGTCAATAGTACAAGTACTGTCAATAGTACGAGTGCTGTAGGTCACTAATAAAAGTATACAGTTATTGTGTGCCGTCCTGCAAACTGCGTGCGTGTGTCGTACAAGCAATCGTGGTAAGTTTATCAAGATTGGGAACAGTGAGGAACGCAGAGTTGTAAGACAATGACGACTGAGGAAGATACATGCCTACATGCGAACAATGTTAGGAGAGAAACTGGTCCTCATTGTAGATCACATAATATGTTATGCGGTACATGTCGATCAAGGCTGCCGTATTGAACCACGTTCACTCTTCTATGCACAACATCACTGTGTGCGGTTTAGCGCAAGTAATCTAGTCACGTACCCGTAATCTAGTCACGTGACTGTAATCTAGTCACGTGACTGTAATCTAGTCACGTGACTGTAATCTAGTCACGTGACTGTAACCAGGTCAGCCGTATTGGCGTGTACATCTAGGTCAAGGGTAGAACTTACTTGTACACGTCCAGTACAGGTGAGCAGGCGTACTATCAGGTCGTAATGGACGCGAGGTGGACAGTGGTGGCGAGAGCTTATGCCAATGGAACCTGCATACCTTAGTACACGGACTACAGCCGTTTGTAAATGTATGAAATGCCGGCATCGACGTTCATTGATGGTTGCCATTCTTTGATCAAGTAAGCTTCCCTATATTTTCGAAGCGATAGTTGTACGCGGTGGCGGATGACCGGTTTTGACCAATCGATGGCGTGGTGTCGAAAACGTGCTTAGCAACACCATTGTCCATTTTCTGTGCGCTGACATCACGCTGATGCTCCTCTATTCTCCATCTTCTTGCTGAAGGGTCTCCATCTCCCTGTTCTTCAACGTCGTATTGCTGCAGTGGGGCACTGCCCTCTGTGACAGGCAGGAGAGGACGGCGCGTTTTGTGGACTTTGGATGGTGCGAGGAGAAGTTAATGTAACGTCCCGTGTGGGTAGGCTTCCTGTAGACGTTCGTTGAAAGTTGTGAATTTGACCTTTGAATCCATACGTCTAGGAAAGCAATTCCGCCGTCGTCTTCTTCTTCCACGGTAAACTTTATGTCTGGCGTTACTGAGTTCGCTGTGTTGAGCACATTAGTCAGCTCCGTTCTCTTTATGACCGTGAAAGTGTCATCCACATATCGCAGCCATGTGTCGATCACGTCACCGCATTTCGTTAGTAGTTGCTCTTCATGTCATTCCATAAATAGATCCGCAAGCACTGGAGATAGTGGAGAACCCATGGCCGCTCCTCGAATCTGTTTGAAGAACTGGTCCTCATATCGGAAGTACGCATTCTTGACACAAAATTCGACCAAGGTAGCTATGCTGGTGGCAGTGAGTGATGTTTCACGCTCGCGAGTGTCTTGAGGAGCTAGTTTAGCTTGAAGCCTCGGAATCTGTCTTGTCCATGGGCACGTTGGTGAAGAGGCTCTTGACGTCGAAACTGGCCTTCACGTACTCGTTTCCGATTGTAGTGTCCGTTATTTTTCCGATAAACTCTTGGGAATTTGTGACGTGAGTTGCAGTCTTGCCTGTCAGTGTCCGTACTATTTTCGCCAGGAAACGAGCTAAGCGATGGAGAGGCGAACCAATAACCGCTACTATCGGTCTGAGAGGGATGTTCTCTTTATGAATTTTAGGGAGACCGTAGAAGTGAGGGGCAGTGTATGTCCGTGGAGTATAGAAGAGTTTCTGGGAGCGGGACAACTCCTCTCTTCTCTCCATTGGGCGTAGGACCTTGTGGAGCTTTTCCACTGTTTCAACTAAACAAGAATATTAATAAATAAAAAGGCGACGTGGAGACAATAATCTTAATAATGCAATGAATATAACTAAATGCGCACTCATATCACAACCATGGGGACGAATCATGTATTCCAGAACGTTTTCTTGTCACAATTATCAATGGAATTCGTGACTAAAGAGAATGATGAAACTACAATAGGATTTATACACTTGCAGTGGAACAGCGAGGATACAAGCATAGCACTTGCTAGCACTGCACTTGCTGAATTTCCTATCATTTCTCACCTCACCTATAATTTATTACCTGTACAAATTGTTCCTAGGTTTGTGCTATTTTTCTTACTATGCTTGTATCCTCGCTGTTCCACTGCAAGTGTATAAATCCTATTGTAGTTTCATCATTCTCTTTAGTCACGAATTCCATTGATAATTGTGACAAGAAAACGTTCTGGAATACATGATTCGTCCCCATGGTTGTGATATGAGTGCGCATTTAGTTATATTCATTGCATTATTAATAAATAAAATAATTATTACGAATACTGAACGCCCTAATGCTCACGTGAATGGTCGCAGCTCGACAGCACAGCCCTAGTCCATGCATCACAGGACAGCATGCACGCACCACGACGACTGTCCCCGCAGAGTCCCCTCAGGCGTTCTCTCGACCGACAGACCTCCGCTGGCCGTTACATCACGCCCGCTGTGTGGACCGACCGGTTCCGCCAGCGCTCGATAGCGACACATTCTGCTTGCTGCCATTGACCGTCGGGACAAACCTTCTCGGACAAACCTTCTCTGACGAGCCTTTGATAGGCGAAACAGCTGTCAGAAGGAAATGTTTTACCCGTGACCCCTTCGTTGTTTGAAGTTATGGTGTGAGTAATGGCTACCGAGGGTAGCAATGGTCGGCTTTAGAACGCATGGAGGAGGAGAGTTAGTTTCTTGTAATATCATCTTTGTTGTAACTAATGGTTTGGAGAGAGAAGGAACAATAAATATGTGTAAATTGGGCAATAAGAAGGTCTGTTTCATTAGAGGAGCTTTCAAGTTAGTTTGCCTGGAAATTGGGGTTCAGACAAGAGGTTCTCCCTTCATGAATATTTCTAGATTTAGTCTTCCGTGGCTTTGAAGAGTTTGGTCCAAACTCCCACCACCCCCACCACACATTCACTCTCCGGCCAACCTCGTTCATCACACTAGCAACACGACTCGTAAGTTGTTGTAGATATTCATAGCGGCTACGGTTCTCGCTATTCAATACACGTACTGTTAAAATTACCGTTAGCCCCATCCCTCACACAAACAAGTCAACAAAGAGGCATCTTTGGATTGAGGAGTGCTGGTTTCGAAACAACTGGTTTGAAGCTCAAAGTAGAGCTGGTGTTAGCTCAGAGCAGAGCTGCTGTTAGCTCAGAGCAGAGCTGCTGTTAGCTCAAAGTAGAGCTGCGGTTAGATCAAAGTAGAGCTGCTGTTAGCTCAAAGTAGAGCTGCGATTAGCTCAAAGTAGAGCTGCTGTAAGCTCAAAGTAGAGCTGCTGTTAGCTCAAAGTAGAGCTGCGGTTAGCTCAAAGTAGAGCTGCTGTTAGCTCAAAGTAGAGCTGCTGTTAGCTCAACATAGAGCTGCAATGCTAAATGGATGTAATATAGCGCAAGGCAGAGCCGCAGCAAATAGCTAGATAACACCAGTTGTGAGAGTGGACCCGATTAGTGGGTACGATAATTATAATGGTGGTGTGAATAAGTTGGATAGGGAGGGATGGGTGGAAAAGAAACACTGCTGAAGCACGATCCGTTGTCTGGTAGAGCACAACAGGGCAAGCAAGATTTGTTTTTCTTTTCCGCAAAATGGGCTGGTGCCATTTGTGATTACACAGCAAAACAAAGCGCATGACGTCAGTCTTGAATGCAGTACAAAGCAATGCAGTGCAGTGTGTGCTAGTTTGGATTGTTGCTAACAAGTACTAGCACAGCTAGTACACCATTAAAAACCTTCACTGGTGAGATCTTTATGCACGAAACAGCTGTCTGGAGGAGTTTTACCCATATCTTCAGCGACTTAAGAGTCTTGTTGCTGGTGTGGAGAACGAGGTTGAGCAGTGAGTGCATGTGTGGTGTTACTGGTACTAGTGGTGGTAGGAGTAAGGACTAAATAATTGGTGAACGGGCAGAACGCTTCTGCTTACCCTCCTGAGTCCTGACCTATTTTTTGTAATAATCATGTCTGTGATGCATGTATGTGCCCGTGTGTGTGTGTTGTGTGCGTGTGTGTGGTGTGTGTGTGTGTGTGTGTGTGTGTGTATGTGCCCGTGTGTGTGTGTGCATGTGTGTTTTGTGTCTGTGTCTGTGTGCATGTCGTTGAATGTGCGCGTGCCCGGTGCAGATGCACTTGCAGTGTGCTGTGGACCAGCTGCAAAGATACAACGTGTGCCCAAAGCATCACACAAGATTGGTTGACGGTTGCCTAAGGCGGGAAGCGGCACCACCAGAAACAGCTGTTCCACAATTAGTTGAGCAAGCGCAACAGGAGGAGAGAGTGACTAGTGTACCTGTCGCGGAGGTACAACGGTTAGTGATAGAAATGAGGTACAACGGTTAGTGATAGAAATGGCCGGCACACGGGAATGTGTTCACACAGCCTTTTTGAATGGCACCTAGGATTTCTATGGACTTGCATATGTGTGATACTGGAAGGGCTTCGGGTCCTCCCAACGCAGTATGCTCCCGAATATGGATAGTGAGAAAGCAAGACGTTTGTGCTGATGCAAAGCTTATACACGAAATAGGGGAGGGAAGGGAAGAGGGGACTTGGGGGGATTTCTGGACACCCGGAACCTCGTCAATAGATGTACCAGTGCTGTAGCTGTTGGAATGTTGATGGCTCTCAGATTTCCACTGGGCTATGGTTTGTTGGTTCATTGCGATGATCCTACAGGGCTGCTAGAAGGCAAGCGGGAACAGCTGGGACAGCTCCTCACTTCCTTCCTTACATCAATGCCAGTCAGCTGACTGCACAGTACGTGCCAAAGTCCAGCTCAAAAGCAGCCGCCTCTTCTCAACAAACTGCGGCGGGGCCAGCAGAAAAGCCTCCCCGCATTCCGTAAGTCGTGTGCCAGTTTGTAGTGAGCTACAGTCCCCCCCCCCCCAAAGTACTTATGCTATCAGTGTCTTCGTTCACAGATTTGTGGTATTTGTGGCAACAGATCAACGCCAGGTGTGTTTTGCCTGCTAGGCGTTGAAGTCAGCAAAGTTCTAAATTTCCTGACTCATAACTTGTTTGTTCTTTTCACCATGCAACTTTGGGTTGCATCCTTATGAACTATTGTGTAAATTTCAACATCAGCATCATTAAAGTGGGCAGGAACAGTGCGTGGTCTAAGACCATGCTGGAGGGAAGGAGGGTACCAGGTGCAAATTCTACTTGGCAGCGGAAGTATCAAGTTTGTAGCCCTGGTGTGGCTCACAGTCAAGTGGAAGCTCGTAACCTGGCATGAATGTTTTCAGGGGAAGCATGGTCTAGTCAAAAGTTCATTGCTTGTCCAAGGAAGCTAAGACTTCTTCGTCCTATATTCCCAGTTGAACTGGAACACTTTCCCCGAAACTGGTTGAATATGCCCTATTAGTTAGGGATTTGTGTGGAAAATGTCACTGAAAGTGCCACTACGTCCTTATAGAAGCATTGATGAAGCATTGATGAAGCATTGATGAATGTGAAACTCCCAGAACCTTTAGTCTTCTGGAGACTTGAGTCGAATGGTCTTGGTCCGACGAGGCTGCGATATACCGTTCGGTATTTATTCCGAATCCATCTGTCCTGGGAATTCCTTGTTTAGGGAACACTAGTGCTGCACTCGACATTGTCTGGTCGCCAAGGTGATCATGGTGATCCGTAGTCCCGCGTCGCGCCTTCCCGGCCTCGGCCCTTTTTACCTCCACAGATCTCACCGGAAAAAGATGACGACGCTGTTTTGGTGAATATTTTCTGAGCGCCTCGAAAGTCCGTGCGCCAAATCCAAAAAAGTTGATAGCCTTTTCTTCTTTCTCGAGTGATCTGTGGTGATTTTTTCAAGCTTCTTCGCAGTATTATATATCCAATGGCTCCGGAGAAGAAAAGTCGAAAAACGTAGTCACTGGCCTTATTTCAAGTGACAGCAGGAGAAGAATTCTGAATTTGCGTAATTTGTCATTAAGACTTCGCTTCAATTGTGTTCTGTAGGCCCCAGAGTTGCATGTTGGAAGTAGAGCCAAGGTTTTGGTCGTGGTGGTCGCTCCTTCTGGAGTTCGACACACGTGCAGCTCGCACCTTGTGGACGAGATTTTGTCCCTCCACCAGCTCGACAAGTGTCACAACAGCAACAGCTGACTCAGTGGCATGCTCTGCATAAAGCAATTCTTATCCCACCGCGATGACCACCCCAGATCCCACCACGAGCCCCACTGAAGGAAGAAAATAAAATTGGACTATGCTGGTCCCTCAAACATCACCTGTTGGATACTTGTTGTGTGCAAACACCATAGTCTGGTATCAATTCATCTCAGAATGTCAACATTGAAATATACTGAGTGTGTCATCAGAAATTGACACTTTCTGGACAACAGACCAATGCTAGTAGTCAACAAACAGCACATGCACTGAACTATTTTGAGTAGGAGCACTGGTATGCACCGCATGTACATGCAGCTCCATAAAATGATCAACCGAGGCAATGTTTATATACTGGCACACAGAGACATGGACAGCAATAGCGACAACACACCAATTGAAGGGTAGTTGTCCGCAACCAGTTGTGAACCAGGTAACGAGTGAGGTATGGAAGCAAGGACTGAGAACAGAGTGTCTCAAATGAAAAAAAAGGTGTGCAAGTAGATTGCAGAACCACTTGGGGCCGTCAGATTGATTTGTGCCATGCTCCCCGCCGAAACATGACCAGCGGAAAACAGTACTGAGTGCACTGCTCCCTGAGCAGCCAGGAATACGTGTGGTTGTCGGTGAACTGCTTGCAGCAAACGAAGAAGCCCTCTGCTGAAGGCCGGGTGTGTGTTGCTGCCAGATTCCTCGGTGAGTACACATACGGACGCACACTGAGTTCGTCAAAGCAGCCATCGGTGAAACGGCTCAGCTCATCGTACGTGCGGTGATGGTCTTTGGCTTTGAAGGCCCAATCCAATTGCTTGGGAGAAGTATATCCCTGGCTAATGGCGAACTCCTTGTAGGCAAATGGCCACATTGACTTGACAATGCATTGGATGATGTTCATCTCCCAGTGCAAGCCACCTGAAATGGGTAGTACCCAATCAAATTTCCCCATCAGGAATGTTTTTTGGGGCGTCAATTCACCCTTCTCAACCAGATCATCTAAAAACTGCCTCAGCCTCTCACGTAACGTACTCATGTTCCCTGCTACACCCAAGCCACTGCTACACCCAAGCCACTGCTACACCCAAGCCCCTTTAGTATTGTATAACCCAGTACCAGTTCAATATCAGCATTAGATAAACCTTGTTATAGTTCACACATGTTTTTAGTTTGACAGCATGAAACAAGGTGGAGGATACTGTGTTCGGAAACAGTGACCTCACTACAACCATCCACGGTTGGCAGAGCCCCGGTCCGTTGGGAGCATCTGAACTATTATGGGTGTTGAACCCGGTTCTGACCCTCATTATGCTAGGGGAGTTTTAAGACTACTCCTTACGTCAGTTGTGTATTCTTTGATCGCTCCTGGATGTCGTCCTTAAATCTTTTTTTCTTCCAACTTCTGCCCATGGCGTCTCTCTCAGCTCGTCAGCTGTCAACAGTCACTGTCACCACCATGACACTGTCGCGAGAAGGTGCTCTCTGTAGACGAGGTTGGTGATGTCCCGACGTGGCCATGGGTAGGCCTTCACCACGTCGGAACACCCCGGCTACATGTTGGTTACCTCCACTAGCTCCGCTGGGAAATAACTTGTTTGTTAATGATGTTGTCACGTAAACTATTTTTGGTCAAAAATTTGAATTTCATCTACAAACCTGAACAATTACAAGTGCCTCAATTTTGCTACACGTTGGTTACCTCCATTAGTACCACTGGGAACTAACTCGTATGTTATTGATGTTGTCGCGTAAACTAGTACTGCTCAAAAACTTAGATTTCATTTACAAACCTGAACAACTACAAGTGCCTCAATTTGATCATGCAGTTTTTAGTTACGTACATACTCTCATAAAATTAAAGAAAAACAAGCTGGAGTTACGTCTTACCTCCGGTGTCAACTCGTATCAAGTGGAGTTAATCCTAGGGTAAACGTGCAGATGTCCAACTGCGGAAGATATCTTGTCTCTTCACAAAGAACTACCTTGAAGGAATTTCTTGACCCTTTCAAAAGAACTACTTGGTAGGAATGAGCACAGAAAATTCTACACAGCTACTATTTACATTGAGCAATGACTATGTCTAGCCCCTTGTACCGCATGCACTCTTCAGGTCAGCCTTCGACATTTTGTCGACATGCAATATTCTTGCTTCATGGTTAGCCAATTTGGCTGCATCACGCCTTGCCTCCTCCATCACAGTCAATATGAGGGAGCACGGCAAGCTGTCACACACAACAGTGAGCCATTCCCTCACCCCCCTAATCATCTACACATTGTTTTACCCTTGCACGCTTCCCAACATCGCGCAACACAATGCGAACAGCTTCATGGGAGTTGGGGTTGACAAAAATGGGCTCTAGAAATCCAACATCTGCCGGGGACACAAGGGGTACATCTTCACCACTGGTCTTTGAGGACACGCTGGTCAACGAAACACCGGTACTGCTGTCCACATGATGCGTTACATACACAAATCCGGTGCCCGACTTTTGTGTGCCTGACTTTAGTGTGCCTGGCTTTAGTGCGCCTGACTTGGTGACTTTGATGTGCTCGGTCTACACCACTGATTTTGCCTCGGTCAGCTTGCAGTGCCTGCCTCACGTTTACCCTGCACGTTGCATTAGGACACAAATGCAGCCTGCGCTCCGTATGTGTGCAACATTTGGGGCAGATCTTCCGAAGTGCTCAGAAGGTGCTCAGAAGTGCTAATAGTGAGCCTACAGTGAGCCTACACTTTCCTTTTTCAGACTACTTATTTTCTTCTCGAGTAATTCAATTTTGCTATCCTTCTGCTAATGCGGCACCTTCGACATTGCGGCCCAACACACAATTTTGGTCACCAACACACTCTCTCTCTAAACGCTGCAAAGAATCAACATTATCAACAGTCAACATCATCTACTTTGAGGCTGAGGAAGTTTTTAGATTGGGACTGGCTGAAGACAGGGGGACAAGAAGCATTTATATCATCGGTGAATTCGCAGGAGTTTACCTCTGGAAGAGGGACATCATCGCTGGCATCTACAGAGTCCCCACAGCTAGCGCCCCTCAGAGGCTCGTACGGAGGGTGGTTGTTGACTAAATCCTTCGAGTCAGCCAGTCGTCCGCAGCTCCTACAAATTGCAGACACGTCTCGTCCAGAGCGCTGGCAACACTGCCAGGATACATTTGCGGACCCGAGCATCCTTCGAGCTATGCTGCGGCGATTCCCATTCACCGTGGAAGGGATTCTTGCACGTCAACTGGTATTGAGAACCTCCAGACTTTCTCTTCTCCCTCGATATCTTCGCCATGATGACAATATGAGAATGAAGTTGAAGACACCACTGCAGCTGTACTTATGGTTGATAATATGGTGGTAAAGACACACCTGGCAATATGGCGGTAAACACACGCCTGCCCACACACGCTCTCTAGGCTGCAAAGTTCTGGCACAGAGCTCTCCTTCTCACCACCACCACCATCAGTTCGCACCTGGCGCCTGGTCGATGCGAAGAAGATTGCCTGATGAGTCCAGCGGGGACGAAACGTACGTCGCAATCGAGCTATGTCGTTGCTGTGTCATCATCTATGTGCCATGCGCTACTTGATGTACCAGCCTGCAATGCCGGATACCGCCAGCCATGCATCGACCAGGCGCCAGGCGCGAACTGATGGTGGTGGTGGTGAGAAGGAGAGCTGAACTTTGCAGCCTAGAGACCGTGTGTGGGCAGGCGTGTGTTTACCGCCATATTGCCAGGTGTGTCTTTACCACCATATTATCAACCATATGATGACAATATGTTGAAAATTCTAAACAGGTTTCTTCTCGTCGCTTCTCTCTCTTGAACGACATGGTAGATTTCAAATTTGTTTCGGGCAAAACCTCCAGAAACCCTTTCAATACAGGCTAAAACAACCTCCGCAGTTTTAGAGTTATCTCCGCCAAGTTACCAAAAGAGGGACTGATATTTCAAGGAAAATCGAAATTGTGCCATACGATCTCTTTCAATGGGAACAGAAGCCCTTCAGGCGCACTCATCTTCCTTTTTTTCCGACCACGGGCGCACACGGGCGCACCGCGCGATTTCACAGTGCGTACTTGTCAGTCTCCATATCAACGCCCGAGTTTTTCGTGTAAAAACCTGAACGTTCCCTGAACAAGGGATTCCCTCGACTGGTTATGTGACCCAGTACCAATGCGTATTTTTTTAGACTTTGCTTCACCTTCAAGAGAAAGTAGCATGTCAGCATCCTAGGTCAGAGGAAAGTAGTTCTGGTTCTGCTAGAGGATACCCAATAGCGGCCTGTGTGTGCATATATGTGCATGTGTGTGTGTGTGTGTGTGTGTGTGTGTGTGTGTGTGTGTGTGTGTGTCTGTACGTGCGTGTGTGTGTGTGCACGTGCGTGTGTATGTGTGCGTGTGCTTCTACAGGAAAGGCCTACGGATTGAGAGATATGGAAAAGGCCGAGTTTACCATTCTATGTACCCAATCTTGATTGCTCCACCGTGTGTGGACGATGCTGCTCCGGGAACATTCCGTCGCTTAGAGCCCAGTGAAATTCCAATACTACACTTACCCTGGACAGGAACGGACCTCATATACCTAGACCACCTCTGCTCAACGGATAAAAGTGGTGTCTCTGCAGACAACTCTGACTTTGTAGAAGACGATCATGATTGGCATCGCAAACACGTCGGGAAATTTGGTCTGTTGGATGTCAGCAAGAAAGCCGCCGACTCTATGCCGTCAGGAGATGGTCGTGCAAGTCGTGGCAGTGTTGGAACAAGTGCAGGCCAGCAGCCACGCACAACCACTGTACCAGCAGCTGCTGCTGATGCTCCACAACAGCAGAGTGGACACTTTGCTCAACCCCCGAACTTGCCTCCAGTCCAAGAGAACCAAATTCTGGAGGGAGGTGCTGGATTAGGAGAAGGGCCGGCCATTCCTCAGCATAATCCTTTCAGTCCGTGAACAAAGCTGCAACTTTTCCTAATGGTATGTGACATGTGTTAGGTAATTGGATGAATGTGGTGTGTGTGTGTGTGTGTGTGTGTGTGTGTGTGTGTGTGTTAGTGTGTGTGTGTATGCGTGTGCGTGTGTGTGCATGTGTATGTGCATGTGCGCCGGTGTGCGCCTATGTGCCTGTGTGTGTGGGTGTGGGTGTTTGTATGTGTGTGTGTGTGGGTGTGTGGGTGTGTGGGTGTGGGTGTTTGTATGTGTAGTGCACTGTACATATTGTACACGGTGTAAAATAGTAGACAGTACAGTCATGATGAAAACAGACTGCGTAGAGTACGCGTAGAGTACGCGTAGAGTACGCGTAGAGTACGCGTAGAGTACGCGTAGAGTACGCGTAGAGTACGCGTAGAGTACGCGTAGAGTACGCGTAGAGTACGCGTAGAGTACGCGTAGAGTACGCGTAGAGTACGCGTAGAGTACGCGTAGAGTACGCGTAGAGTACGCGTAGAGTACGCGTAGAGTACGCGTAGAGTACGCGTAGAGTACGCGTAGAGTACGCGTAGAGTACGCGTAGAGTACGCGTAGAGTACGCGTAGAGTACGCGTAGAGTACGCGTAGAGTACGCGTAGAGTACGCGTAGAGTACGCGTAGAGTACGCGTAGAGTACGCGTAGAGTACGCGTAGAGTACGCGTAGAGTACGCGTAGAGTACGCGTAGAGTACGCGTAGAGAGGATGAAGGAAAAGTCGTTACGTCTCTTGGGCATCTTAGCAGACTATTTCCTCGCTTTCCTTTTGCATGTGTGTGAGCACAGGCACACGGTCTACCAGTAGATATTGAGCACAGGCACACGGTGGACAAACTCTGAGTGCAGTACAGTGAATAGGTGTCCAGAGCCGGTGCTTGCTGTGTGTGTTTGATTTTCGGCACTGAATTTGTTCAGATGACAGTCCTCCTTCCATGCTGGATCCCACACAGGTGTCCAGAGCCAATGCTTGCTATGTGTGTTTGATTTTCGGTACTGAATTTGTTCAGATGACAGTCATCCTTTCATGCTGGATCCCACACACTCTCACTGTGGATGGATTTGCGTATAATGGGACTTGATCATGTTCTTTATGACGGGTCGAGTGGACTAGTGGATTCTGCCCTCCCTCGATCAGCTAAGATGCGACTTGATCATCACATTGATCATGTGACATTGCCTTCCCCTGATCATGTGATACTACCTGCCCCGTATCATGTGACAAACCCTTCACTTGATCATGTGACACTGCCTGCCCTTGATCATGTGACACTACCTTCCCTTGATCATGTGACATTGCCTGCCCTTGATCATGGGACACTACATACCCTAGCTTGATCATGTGACACTGCCTGCCCTTGATCATGTGACACTACCTGCCCTTGATCATGTGACACTACCTGCCCTTGATCATGTGACACTACCCGCCCTTGATCATGTGACGCTACATGCCCTTGATCATGTGACACTGTCTTCCCATGATCATGTGACACTACCCACCCTTGATCATGTGACACTGCCTGTCCTTGATCATGTGACACTACCTGCCCTTGATCATGTGACAATGTCAATGCATTCCCTTGATCATGTGATATTGCCTGCCCCTGATCATGTGACACTACATGCCCTTGATCATGTGACACTACCTGCCCTTGATCATGTGACACTGCCTTCGCTTGATCATGTGACACTGCCTGCCCTTGATCATGTGACACTACCTGCCCTTGATCATGTGACACTGCCTTCACTTGATCATGTGACACTGCCTGCCCTTGATCATGTGACACTACCTGCCCTTGATTATGTGACAATGCATTCCCTTGATCATGTGATATTGCCTGCCCCTGATCATGTGACACTACATGCCCTTGATCATCTGACACTACCCGCCCTTGATCATGTGACACTGCCCTACACTTGATCATGTGACACTGCCTGCCCTTGATCATGTGACACTACCTGCCCTTGATCATGTGACAATGCATTCCCTTGATCATGTGACATTGCCTGCCCCTGATCATGTGACACTACATGCCCTTGATCATGTGATACTGCCTGCCCTTGATCATGTGAGACTGCCTGCCCTTGATCATGTGACACTGCCTGTCCTTGATCATGACTCATGTAACACTGCCTGTCCTTGATCATGTTACCCTTCATGCCTTTGATCATGTGACACTACATGCCCTTAATCATGTGACACTGTCTTCCCTTGATGACACTACCTGCCCTTGATCATGTGACACTACATGCCCTTGATCATGTGACACTGCCTTCACTTGATCATGTGACACCACCTGTCCTTAATCATGTAGCAATGCCTTCCCTTGACCATGTGACATTGCCTGCCCTGATCATGTGCCTGCCCTAGATGAATTATTACATGTGCCTGCTGATGTGTGGACTTCATGTGGCACCAAGTCCTGACCCGAGTACACTACCTTGTAGAACTGAACTATTTGCACGGAATCGAGCAAACGGAACACTGGAGTAGAGCAGAGTGTGTCCACAAAACACGTTAGACCACAATAATCCCCTCACGGTGTTGCTGTCGTAAGCAGTGCTAATTCCCCGGCTAAGCATAACAGCAATATGGATTTATGCAGCATGTGTAACGCCTGACGCGGCGAAGAAAATTTATTTGTGGGAGCACGGAGCCATAATATATATATATATATACTTTCACATACTGTATGTAGTAGACTACCCATAACTCTCTCGCTATGCTCGGTTAGCCTGCTTCCCGCATTTTGGAGCGTTATGTTGTGTAGCCATGTCTGCATCAATTGTAGTCTTTAAAATTGCTCTAATTAATTTTTATTCAATCATGTATCTACTTGCATGGGTGTCTTCACGACTCTCTTGTGTTTCTTGCGCACCCGATTTCTGTTCTGCGTGGAAATTTTTTGGCACTGTTTGTGATTTTTGCATGCGTGAATTGACTGCATGCTGCTGGAATGAGGCGCCGCGACAACACTAAAATAATTTAATTTAATGTTTTAATACAAGGCCCATGGCACGACTTATCGTTTCCGAGCATTATCAGAGCCTTCTCAGCCTTCTTCATGTTTCTTCTTTCCCTTTTTTTATGAACTTGCTATGGAGTGACCGTGCCAATAGGCCGTAATGCTCTGGGTCCGGTGGAGGTATGTGGAATCCTCTACTTGAGGGGTGTTGCATGGCTTGACGTGTAACATGGAGTGATAAACCAGGGGCTGCGGGGGACTGAAGTCACAATAAATCTCTCTCTCTCTCGCTTTCCCTCCCTCCCTCTCTCCCTCTCTCCCTCCCTCTCTCCCTCTCTCTCTCTCTCTCTCTCTCTCTCTCTCTCTCTCTCTCTCTCTCTCTCTCTCTCTCTCTCTCTCTCTCCGGGGATGCTGTTGAAGTGAACACCCCTAACTCAGTCGACCTTGCGTGTGCAGGGCTCAGCTGATGTCCGGACCTGCTTGGATCTGTCCGAGCCGGAACCCATCGCTAACTCCGACCCGTCGTTCAGGCTTGGTGATCTGTCCGCAGTGGAGACAGCTGGGGCCATAGAGGCTGCACATTACAAATGTGTTCACTTTCGCCCGAATGCTTCTTTCTCTGTGCCGTCTGGAAATATTGGAAGAAGATTTATCACTACCTTGACATCGTTCTATTCCTGCTTCGGAGATGGGGGATCGTATGAAAATGATCGCACTCAAGATTGCAGCCGTCTACCAGATGCTAATGCTGCAGAAGCCGGACTGTGACAATAATAAATAATTAAAATATGGAAAAATACTTGAGCGCCGCATGGACCAGTGGTCCAAGGGAAATTTTGCGGAGCTGCAACGGGAAGCGGACACCATACAGACCTCTCTTCTATCATCCAAGGACAAGCATAAACGTGATCCAGTGGGTCCGTCAGTTGACCCTGCCAGGCGTTTTGCAGATTATGTCACCGCGGGCAAAGTGGGTAAGGCGCTCCGTGGCCTGACAAGCGGTGATGATGGAGGCGTGCATCGATTGGCCGACGAGATTGACGGACTCACTGTCCGGGGAATCCTGAAAGACAAACATCCACCCGCAGAGCCGATGAGCGAGAACGCCGTTATTGGTGGTGATCCACCTGCTCCACCTCATCCGATCTATTTCAGCAGCCTTGGACGTCAGTCGATTAAGAGTGCAGCGCTCGGTACGCAGGGTGCTGCGGGGCCGAGTGGTGTTGACGCCGAGAACTGGAGGCATTTTTGCGCTAGTTTCTCTGACGCCTCCCACGGCCTTTGCGATGCACTAGCATCGTGTGCAAGGCGTTTAGCCTCCACGTATGTGTACTCAGCATCTTTGTCGGCTTTCACTGCGTGCAGATTGATAGCGTTGGACAAGCAACCCGGTGTCCGGCCGATTGGAATAGGTGAGGTCGCTCGACGTATTATAAGCAAGGCCATCCTCTCCGCCGTCGGCCAAGCCGTTCAGGAGGCGGTTGGGTGTATACAGCTACGCGCTGGCCAAGATTGCGGTATAGAGGCGGGAATACATGCGATGCAGCAGGCCTTTGAGCTGGATGACACCGAAGAAATTCTGATGGCGGACGCAAGTAATGCGTTAAACAGACTGAATCGACAGACCTGTTCAGTACTTGTGTCCATCACTTGCTACCGTTCTAATTCCCTGGTAATACCTACCGTGATCTAGCTCATCTCTACGTGGACGGTGAAAGTATCCTGTCGCAAGAAGGGACAACACAGGGTGATCCCCTTGCCATATATGTACACGCTGGGAATAATACCCTTGCCGGATATGTTTGGCGGATGAGGTGGGTGAGGTGCAGTCATGGTTCGCGGACGATTCATCCGCTGCTGCTCGTCTTCGCAGGCTCCGTCTATGGTGGGACATAAGGGACAAGAGAGGACCGGCATATGGATATTACGTAAACCCAAAGAAATCGGTCCTTGTCGTCAAGGAAAGGTGTTACCAGGAGGCGACTGAATTGTTTAGAGACACTGGTGTTATGATACCGGACGAGGGATCACGATATCTTGGCGCAGCAATCGGAAGGGACAAGTTATATCAAAACAAAGGTGGACGAATGGATGGGAGAACTGAAGAAGCTAGCAGTATTTGCGCAAACCCAGCCGCAGGCTGCGTATTCTGCGTATGTGACGGGCCTCAGGGGTAGGTGGGCGTTCCTCTGTCGTGCCATGAAAGTACCCGAACCCATGTTCCAACCGCTGGAGGACATTGTGAAGTCAGAACTAATTCCCGCCTTAACTTGCCGTGCATCCCCAGGGGACACCCTCCGACGGCTTCTGGCTTTACCGTGTCGTCTAGGTGGGCTCGGTTTGATTAATCCTGTATCCCTATGCCAACAATACGAATCGTCGGTTTGGATGACGAACCCTCTGTCTCGGATAATCTTGTCAAGGGACGGCTCCATCGGTGATTCCGTAGTATTAATCAGGTCGGCCAAGAGAGACGCCAAGAAAACGGAATCCGACGCGATATCGGGCAGTGCGTCGGAGTCGCTACGACATGTCATTGACGTTGCGAAAGAGAAAGGGTTTATCAAAGGGAGACTCCGAGAGTTCTGGGACGGACTTTGCCTCCGTTACGGATGGACACCGGCCAGGGTACCGTCACACTGCTCTTGCGGCCAAGAGGCAACTGTCGCGCATTCCCTATCGTGCCCCTATGGAGGGCCTCCATTAGACACAATGGAATTCGGGACGTCACGGCCCGATTGCTAGACGAAGTGTGCACCAGTGTGTCCATCGAGCCCTTGCTGCAACCGCTGACGGGGGAGCGTCTTCGCTACCGGACTGCGAATGTGGAGGACCGTGCCCGGTTGGATGTCGCTGCCAATGGTTTGTGGGGCAGTCGTTTTGAGCGTACACTTATTGATACAGTATACGGATTTTTAACCCTCACTCACGCTCAAATCGATCGGCACCACATACTATTGTGTATCAGCGACACGAAAAAGAAAAGAGAAGGCACTATGAGAAGAGGGTGAGGCAGGTTGAGCAAGCCTCGTTTGTTCCGGCGGTCATGTCAGCCAGTGGCGGAATGGGTCCAGCGTCAACAGCACTGTATAAACGCATTGCTCATCTGTTGGCTGAGAAGAGGGGTGAGCACTACTCTCATGTTATGGCCTTTGTTAGATGCAGGATTTCCTTCAGCCTTCTGAAATCATGTATCATGTGCATTCGCGGTTGTAGGCGTATAAATTTTAGTTTGAAATTTGCAGCGGAGCCCACGCTGCTTTGGCAGTGGCGGAGGCTCACTTGCCGACGTAACCGTCGGAGACCTTTGGCCATTTTTTCGTGCTTTGGAGTTACTTGTTGTTTTTGGAGAGTTCCCTCCTCCTCTCACGGTTTTGCAAAAAAACTATTAATATTATACACGTTTTGTCAGTGGATTGGGCCATGCATGGGTCCGGGGGGAGGGCATAATAGTATTTTTTGCAAAACTGTGGGGGGGGGGTATACTACGTCTACTACATGTACATGACTATGATATAACCTAACACTGGTTAAAAACCAGTATTAGATAAACCTTGTTATAGTTCACGCAATTGTTAGATTGACAGCATGAAACAAGGTGGAGGACACTGTGTTCGGAAACAGTGACCTTACTACAACCTTCCGCGGTTGGCAGAGCCCCGGTCCCTGCGGACCATTTGAACCATATGGGTATCGCACCCGGTTCTGACCCTCATTATGCTAGGGGGTTTGGAATAGGAGACTACACCTGATGTTACTCATAAAAAGGACACACTTCAGGCTCATTACAAACATCTTGAAAGTTTTTGTCTTCACAAGTATACTTTCAAGCCTTCTCATCAGGTGAAATACAGGCAAGGGAAAAGGAACAGGAACAGTGGATTAAATACAGTAAGAAGGTGGTAAAACAGCGCAAAAAGAAAGAAAGAAAGAAAGAAAGAAGATAGCTAAAGTAAACAGCGAAAATTGCAATAATGACACAAAGGTGCAAATGCGAGAAAACTCAATAAGCGCGACATGTAGTGCGACAACAAGAGACAACCACTGGACATACATGTAACTAACGAGGTTTTGACGACCTACCTAACAGCCTAAGTGTGAATTTGATTTGTTTCTGCTTGCAAAGGTTGGGTTTCCTTGTGTGGATGTATACAGCTTCCAAAACATTCAGCAATCTAGCACTGCGTACACGTGACACAATCGAAAAACAATCATCTGAATACACAGCACGACAATCAGGATGCTCAAACAAATGACTAGCAATGGACGACTCATACTTATCAGAACTAACATCAGAACAATCAGCATGTGCGGTGGACACATCCGATTTCACATGGCTAGTCGAGTGGACCCTAGCCGTTGCCTCTGTCTGTACTTTAGTCGCTGCCATCGCCGCCGTTGCCGATCTTGTCATTCTTCTGGTTGATGCGGTTCCTGTCACTGCCACGCCAGTAGGTGTCTTGTCCGGTTGTTTTTCTGGTGGTCTAGTTAACCCCTTGAGCGCGGATGACGTACTAGTACGTCATAACACCCACACAGTGCCCCACGGATGACGTACTAGTACGTCATGCGCTTATATACAAACTAATGGCCCGTATCTTCAGTCTTCAGGTCTGTTAGCCGATTGGTAGTGTCTATGCCTTGTGCACGAGAGGTCCCGGGTTCAGTTCCCAGCTGTCGATGTACAGCGATCAGCACAGCTCTTTTTTTCTCTTTTTTACGCGCGCATACCACGCAATTGGTGCAATTTCTCAAAAATCGACCTGAGTATGCCGCTCGGCCTGGCGTGCCTTGGCCGATTTTCGCTTTTGTTCTTGTTGTCGAGTGCTGGTCTGGGTCCTACCTACCACTGCCTGTGGTTGTGGCTCCCAAAGATTTCACGACTTGACATAGCCAAGGTTTGAATATTTTCAAAAAAGACCATTTTCTTACGTGGTGCACTGACAAACAGCCCCGCGCTCAAGGGGTTAATTGTGAGGTGGTCTAGTTAATTGTGAGGTTACTTTCAAGATGTTTGTAATGAGCCTGAAGTGTGTCCTTTTTATGAGTATTATCGCATTTTTGTCTCAGAGGAAACTGTGTACACCTGATGTCGTCTTGTTTTCTTCGCTCTTTTCTTTAACTTGTATAAA